ACATCTACTTGTTCGAATGCCATTTGCTGAAAATACTGTCCTTTCTCCTTTGTCAAAGATTAGTTGACTGCGTTTGTGTGTATCTGTTCTGTTCCATTGATCTGTATGTCTGTTCTTTTACAAACAGCATGCTGTCTTGATTGCTGTAGCTTTATAGTAAGTCTTAAAGTCAGAGAGTGCCAGTTCCCCAAGTTTGTTGCTCTTCTTCAGTATTGCGTTGGCTATACTGGCTCTTTTGCTTTTTCCATATAAACTTTAGAATCACTTTGTTGATATTCACAAAATAGCTTGCTGGAATTCTGATTAGGACTACATTGAATCTATAGATACAGTTGGGGAGAATTGATATCATAATAGTATTGACTATTCTAATCTGTGAACATGGAATCTCTCTCCTTTTCTTTAGATCTTCTTTAATTTCTTTCATCATAATTTTATAGTTCTTTGCATATAGGCCCTATACTTATTTTTTTAGATTTATACATAATTATTTTGCTTTGGTACCATTATAAATGGCATTGTTTTTATTTTTTTTATTTATTTATTTATTTTGAGACAAAGTCTCACTTTGTTGCCTGGGCTAGAGTGCCATGACGTCAGCCTACCGCACAGCAATGTCAGACTCCTGGGCGCAAGCAATCCTCCTGCCTCAGCCTCCTATGTAGTTGGGACTACAGGCACGCACCACTATGTTCGGCTAATTTTTTTCTATATATTTTTAGTTGGCCAATTAATTTCTTTCTGTTTTTAGTAGAGATGAGGTCTCGCTCTTGCTCAGGCTGGTTTCGAACTCCTGACCTCGAGTAATCCGCCCGCTTCGGTCTCCCAGAGTGCTAGGATTACAGGCGTGAGCCACTGTGCCCGACCAGCATTGTGTTTTTAATTTCAAATTCCAATTGTTCATCTTTGGTCTATAGAAAAGTAATTGGCTTTTGCATGTTAATCTCGTATTGTGCAACCATGTTGAGGTTTTTTTGATTTTGGGAGAATTTTTACATAGACATTAATGTCAAAGACAGTTTTGTTTCTTCCTGATTGTTATACCTTTTATTTCCTTTTCTGGTCTTATTGCACTAGCTATGACTTGAAATGCAATGTTGAATAGGAGTGGTGACAGGGAACTTCCTTGCTTTGGTCTCAGTCTTAGGGAGAAAACATCCAGTTTCTCACCATTAAGTATGTTGTTAAGTATAAGGTTTTTTGTAGATACCCTCTATCAAGTTATGGAAGTTCTCCTGTATTCCCCCATTTGCCAGATTTTCTCTTTATCACTGGTTTTAAGCAATTTGACTTTCATCTGCCTTGGTGTAATTTTCGTGTTTCTTGTGCTTGGAATTCAGGGGGCTACTTGATCTGTGGCTGTATAATTTTCATCAAATTTGGAAAATTTTCAACTATTATGTCTTCAGTTATTTTTGTTCTTCCCTGTCTTTTTTAGGGACTCGAGTTACATAGATATTAGGACACTTGATGTTGTCTTACAAGCTCCTTGGTGCTCTATGCACCTCCCCCCACCCCCGCCCCATTTTCTCTCCGTAGTTCATCTTGGATAGTTTTTGTTGCTGTTCCTTCATATTTACTGATCTTTTCAGATAATCTCATCCAGTATATTAGAGTTTTCATACCTAGAAGTGCGACTTATTTTTAGTGTGTATCTTCCATGTCTCAACATATTCAGTCTTTTTCTCTAGCTTCTTGAACATGTACGATAGTTATAGTAACTAATTATCCTTGTGTACCAATTCTATCATCTGTAATTTCTGGGCAACTTTTGCTTGGTTGATGCTTTTCCTTATTATAGGTCAACTTTTGTGCTTCTTTGAATGCCTGGTAGTTTTTTATTAGATGCCAGGCTTTGTGAATTTTACTTTATTGGGTGCTGGATATTTTTGTATTCCCATAAATATTTTGAGCATTGTTCCTGGATGTGGTTATGTTACCTGGAAACATTTTTTTTTTTTTGAGACAGAGTCTCGCTTTGTTGCCCAGGCTAGAGTGAGTGCCGTGGCGTCAGCCTGGCTCACAGCAACCTCAAACTCCTGGGCTCAAGCAATCCTGCTGCCTCAGCCTCCCGAGTAGCTGGGACTACAGGCATGCGCCACCATGCCCGGCTAATTTTTCCTATATATATTAGTTGACCAATTAATCTCTTTCTATTTATAGTAGAGATGGGGTCTCGCTCTTGCTCAGGCTGGTTTTGAACTCCTGACCTCGAGCAATCCACCTGCCTCGGCCTCCCAGAGTGCTAGGATTACAGGCATGAACCACTGCGCCTGGCCTGATGAAAGATTTTGAAATCATGGTATCAAATAAAATATTGCCAAAGCTATCTTTTTAGATACTTTTTGTTAAGTCAGCTTATGAACTGACATCTCATCTAGACGTAACAAGTGAATGTTGTAATAATGTCAATGCAAAATAAAAATTTTGACTAACAGTTTTAGATCTTTTTCAAGTTTTACCTTTATGCTTATTATTTTGTCTGCTCTGCCCTTCCCCACTTCCATAATTGTCATCTTTCCTTTCATGGTTAGGATTTGGAAATCTTGTGTGACTTTTAGGGAATGTTATTAAAAAGCTGTAGTCTTTTTTCCTCTCATCCCAGCTGTCCCTGAGCCTGGATGGACACCCAGCCTGCAGTGCAAAAGGAGTTTTATTTTCTGCTCTGTTCAGGAGTTTTATTTTCTGCTCAACTGCAGCATCTCTTGTTTGCTTTATAACCATAAAGTGGACGGGGAAATTAACAACCTTAAAGCGCCCAGGGCTTTAAGTTCCTGACAGAAACAAGATTACTTCTGCAAAGGTAGCGGTGTGCATGTGTGCACATGTATGTGTGCATGTTTGTAGTATGTAATAAACATTCCACAGACCAAGGGCTCCCAGGGTTCCATGGGACATCCTTGTTGGCCCAATAACTGTGGTTAGAGACACTGAAATGAGAGCACAGTGTAGTTCCAGATAAAGTGGTTAACAGATGTCCTAAATACTCAGAGAATTTCATGGCTGGTCTTTCCATAGATGATTGTTCTTATTCTTCCTGTTTTGTTTTCAACTGTAATTCACAAATTGAAACTAGTAATTGGCCTGAAGTTCTGTTGTTCTTTCCTCACCTGTGTTTGCTCCTGGTTTGTCTAGTCCTCGTGTTATTTTTTGCTGAGCTTGTGATTTGGCACGTGAGCGTTGGGGTGGGATGGGGACTGGCTATCCACTCTCTCTGCGCCCTGCATTTCCATTATGGTTATTTGTTGGCCAGTGTCTCCCTGCTGGACCCGGTGGCCTAAGATTGGGAAGGTCACAGGGTTGACTGCGTTGCCCAGCACTGGTCTGGCCCAGAAGAATACTCAGTAAGATTTTACTGAATTGATCTGGAAGTTTTTAGCTTCGAACACCATGTCATCTAAGGTAAACAATGTCACGTGTTGCTTCTTAGGGTGATTTTGTGTATTTTCTCTAGTCTTCACCACCACTGTTACACAAGCTAAGATTTGTTAAAGATTCTTTATACCATTTCTTCCCCGATTCGAGAGGCTCTGCTGATGTTCTTTTAATAAATAGGCAATGGCAGCGTTTTTTATATCAGTCAAGGGCTTTTGTAGAATTCGTTCCCAATTATATTGAGCTTCATTTGAGACACATTTTTTTGAGATGGGGTTGAATCTTGCAATTTTCTATGAAACGGTAAACATTAGAGTCAGAACAGGTTCAGCCCAGGGATGAGCAGGATTTAGGGTTCCTGACTGACCCAGATGATCAGAGGAGAACTGGGAGTCTGAGAATAGAAATAACGCTGGGGCCCTTGGGCTGGGAGTGAAGCAGAGCTGGGCATCCGACTGTAGCGCTGAAATCCAGGTCTTAAAATGACAGAGGCTGTGTTGCTTGTTCGCACTCATTGTTATATTTCTTTTGCTATCGGATATAATAGAATGGTTCAGAGTTTGACAATATAGCATAACTGTTCTGCAAACAGTGTATAATATGGAAAGCCAGCTCTTTTCTACCGCCCCCCATAAGGTCTTGCTCTGTCACCCAGTCTGAAGTGCAGTGGCATCATCATAGCTCTTTGTAGCCTCGAACTCCTGGGCTCAGGTGATCTTCCTGCCTCAGCTTTCTGAGTAGCTGGGACTTACAGGCATGTGCCATCATACCCTGCTAATTTATTTTATTTTTTGTAGAGACATGGTCTCACTGTGTTGCCCAGGCTGCTCTTGAATCACTGGTCTTGAACTCCTGGCCTCAAGCAATCCTCCTACCTTGGCCTCCCAAAGTGCTGGGATTACAGGCAGGAGCCATGATGTCTAGCCTTTACTTGTCATTTGGATGGAAAACACATTTGGTAAAGAGAGCCTAGGCTTATAGCTAGCCCTTGGCTTGCCACTTTCTGGCTTTGTGACCTTGGATGAGGTGGACCACAGACCTAAGTTCTCTGACCTCACCTGGGACTTGGGGGCAACACCTTAGTGATAGGATTGTTGTATGGACTGGACATAAGGCACTACAAGGCATAAGCTCTGACACATGGTGGGTGAATCAAGGGTAGCTGTTATTGTTTTGATGTTATCCTTATTTTAAATAATTAAAGGACAGAGAGTAAGAACATCTCAAGATAAAGGGGTCAGATTCTAAGTTAACCTTTTAAAATTAATAGGCCCCCTTGACCACCAGGAACGTTATTCAGACAACAACAGCGTCTCAGTATTACCAAGAGATTTATAGAGTCAAGAGCCTGTTTTCATCTGTACATAATGAGGTAATTATATGAATGAAGAAAAAAGTACACTTCCCTCTCCTTTTAAATAGAATAAAACAGACAAGTTATTATAGACTTTTTGTGCCATTGGTTTTTACAGTAAAAAACGAATTAAGCTTAAAACACATAGCCATAAATAAGCTACATGGGGACCTAGTAAAGACAGAGGTGCGAAGTCATCTACCTGAAACTCAGGAGGAAGCCGCGTGCGGTGGGCTCTCCCGGGAGTCAAGGTGGGCGTGGAGGCCAAGGGCTGCACTGCTCGGCCCACCCTTTTGCCACTAATCACGCGCCACCAGGTGGGGGGCTCGTATCTACCAAACTGTATTTTCTTTTAGGGCTAACATCACGATTCTTCAGCTTGGCTGGAGACACTGCAGAGGCAGAAATGCTCAAGCACCGTGTAATGCTCGCAGAATTTGTTCCATAACTGTCGTTAATCATTAATTTCCCTGAAGGCCAATGTTTGCTTTTTGCTGTTATAAACAATAATATTCACAGCAATAGACTATAACACTAAAGTACAGTTTGTGCTGAGCACCTGTCTGCTGTCGTCATGTTAGATGTTCCAAATACACCAACACTTATCCCCACAAGACTGTCAGAAGGCAGGCGGTGTCACTCCTGCAGTGGTCAAGTCATTTCCCAAGGTCAGGCAGCTAGTAAGTGACAGATCCAGGAATCGAATCCTGCCCAGTTTGAGTCCCACATCAGCGCGCTCTGCATCGTACTTTGCTACCTCTGAAGCCCCAGAACCCAGACAGGTCAGTGCAGGTGACCCTTCGCGGACGAGTTTTCTGAACCGTGTTTGGCCCTTGACAGAATGCCTGGAGTTGCAGTCTGTAGCCCCGAGAAGCTCCGCCGCTGGCAGGGGACGCAGAGGAGCTGCCAGAGCAGTTGGCCGGGGAGGCGTCTGCGGTAAATGCCTCGCATCACTGCGGGTTCAGTTCTTCCTCCGATTAAATCTTGTCTGCGCCTTTGCCCGTGGAGTCAGGGTGTGCAAGGTGATCGTTATCTGCGAGACGGCCACTCGATACTGAGACAGGGACACCCCGCCACACATACACAGTTGCGCACTGTCGGGTGTAAGTGGATCAGGAAATGAGCAGGTGTCCCAGCCCCAGCCGGTAGTCAGTCCTGCAGAAGTTTTAAAAACCCAAGAGGTGGAAGTACAGAGAATATTGTCTTTTTCAGACCTCCCTCTAACACTGCAAAGTGAAGTGAGAATTGACAAGCACGTGAAAACTTTGAGGGGCAAAAAAGGTAAAAAGGCTCAATTATTGCTATTGTTGTAATGACCTCCATAGATGCACTTTAGAGGTACGGGAACTGTACTTTAAAATAAATAACTTGTTAAGGTTTTTTGGTTTTTTTTTTGTGCTGCACTCCCAATCTAGTGAGATTTTCTTTGCTGAAATTCAGATGAAATTTCCCATCGTGTGCTGTGGAATGCAGAGAAATGTTTCGAGGTTGGAAGTGGTTTGTGTTGTTTAAACCAAGCTTTGGTTTTGTTTTTCATTATGCAGATCAGTTTTTTTTTTTTCCCTCAGCTGAATTGAAGTGCGAAGTCATTTGAACAACACTGGTCTTTTCTGTACACAAGAAGGTTAAGAACTTCAGACAGCGCACGCTGCTGCCAAGAAGTCTCCCAGTCGTATTCTTGAGATTAATTACCTGCAGAAACAGAAGTGAGGAAGCCCATTATGGGTTAAAGCAATGATTCTGGCAGGATTTGAAAAGCACTAGGATTATGTCGTGGGGGAAACTTAAGCAAATCTCACGAATGGAGGCTCTCCTAAGCAGATCCGACATTTCAGTTTTTATCCACTTACATTTGAAGAGAGATATTGAGATATTTGGGAGGTTTTTCTGTTAAAATATTAAAATTAGACTTTTCCCCATTCAAATTTGGAAATATAGTTAAAAGAATCTGATTTATGCAGTTTTATTAAGGCCATGTCTGTCTATCTAGCTGTCCGCCCATCCATCCACCCACCCAGGCCACAGTGATGCTATTTGAAAACATAAATTTTTCAAATGCAGGGAGCAGGCCAGTCTTGTCTTACTCTGTGTGTTGTTATGCAATATTGATCTGAAAATTGCAAGGTTGAACTTCAGAGGCTGACTTTTTCCTCTTTAGTACAGTGCTGACAACCACAGTTAACATGCTGAGGTCTCATGAGTGAGTATGTCCTCTTTCAAAGCTGCCGTCTACATGAACAAACCAACAACATCATAGAAATGCGTGATTCTATGCTACAGATTCTTTCATAACTTAAACACGTGTTATTAATAAAACACTAATCTCTAATTAATCAGTGCTCATTTGCATAACAATGTTCACACAGCACATAGGAATTTTGAAGGAAATGTTAAACTTGAATTTACTTTGGTAATTTTTACTGGTAATGATAATGACAATAGTTTAATTATAGCTTACATTTACTTATACATGCACTATGTGCAAAAAGATATTCTAAGTGCTTTATATATATTAACTCATGTAATGTTACAACATACCTATGAAGTGGATACTGTTGTTTCCCCTATTTTACAGGTGGAGAAATTGAGGCACATAGAGATTAAATAATTTGCCCTAGGTCACAGATCTAGGATTTGAACCCAGGTAGTTTGACTCCAGAGTGCATTCTCTTAAGGACTAGAGCATATGCTGCTTTTGTTGGTATTTTCCCACATGAGCTTAGCTCTCGAATGTCTTACTAGAACCCTCCCTGCCTTCCTCCTGAGGCCAGAGACCTTCGCAGTTAGGTCTCCCACAGCGACGACTGTCACACAGACCTGCCCCTCCCTTCTTTTGTTCATATGTTAGAAGATGTCATTGGGCTGTTTGTTTGCTCCTCAGAGGGAAGACAGATATAAAAGACCTTTTAATCCTTCTCATTTCTCTCTTCCAGTTGGCTTGTCATTATGAAGTGGGCCTTACCTATTCTCCTATCCGGGTCAAAGGATAAATGGAGAAATCGCACAGAACTTCTGTCCATTCACAGAAAGTTATATAGCACTTAAGGATGGTCTCTTTCCAAAGAGCAATAAGTATTCCATTTTCATTGAAATATTTGTCTGCTAAGATCACATAGTATGATAGCAACCGACCCCAACAAGCAAAAATAATAACTCCCAAATTGGCAAAACCAATAGGTAGAGATTATCTCGCTTGAATGCTCATAAAGTTTTTTTATATGTTAACATTCAACAAAACTGTCGTTTTTGAGACAGTTTTATGTATTTTAACACAGTATAGATTCACGTAACTACCTCCCCCAAAGATGCAGAACATTGCTGGCACCCTCCGGAATTCCCTTCTGCTGTGTCCCTACCCAGCCCCGGCAACCACTGATCCACTCTCTTTCACTGCAGTTTTGTCTTTTGGAGAATATCATATAAATGGGATCGTACAGTAGTATGTCACCCTTTGAGGCAGGCTTCTTTCGCTCAGTAGAATGCCTGTGAGACCCATCCACGTTGTTGTTGCGTATCAGCCATTCATTCCTTTTCATCTCTGAGTACTGTTCCATTGTATGGACGGACCACAGTTTCCACACTGGGTTGATTCCAGTTTACCAAGTCTGAATAGAGCCACCATAAACATTGGTATACAGGTTTTCATATGAATGTGTGTTCATTTTTCCAGATGCTAAGGATTGCTAGGTCATATGAGAAGTGCGTGTTTAACTTTTTAAGAAAAAGCTAAACTGTTTTCCAGAGGGGCTTGTGTGCCCACCAGCAATGCGGGAGGATTTCATTTTCTCCATATTCTCACTACACTCGGTTTTGTCAGTATTTTTTATTTTAACCATCTTCATAGGCGTGTAGTGGTATCTCTTTGTGGTTTTAATTTACATTTCCATAATGACAAATGATACCGAGCAGCTTTTCATGTGCCTGTTTATCATCTGTGTAACCTCTTTGGTGAGGCGTCTCTTCAAGTCTTTTGCCTATTTTTCTCGTGCCTATTTTTTAGTTAGGTTGTTTTCTCATTGTTGAATTTTAAGTTCTTTGTATGTCTCAATCAACAAAGAGAGACCAAAAAAAAAAAAAAGAAGCCATACACATATACACACCAGTACCTTCTAACAAACAATGTGGATCCCACATTAGGAACATAAAAGATGGTATATTTAGTTCTAGGAGGGTAGGAGTGTGAGAAATGGATATTTGCAAGTTGTTCTTGTTTCGTAGTTTGATTTCTTTAAAGGGGTATGCCTAGGACATAATCTTTTAAAAGACTTAATCTTTTCTTCATAAGAGCTTAGCAGTTTTAGATGTACATAGGTACTTAATAAGTACTTTTGGTTAACAGATATTAATATCTGTTCTCTCTCAGAAGTGTCATAGACACACTTGAAAAATATTTCTATATATGAAACAATTACTTATAACTTAGGAAGTAAGAGGCTGCATTTAGGGGCAAGAAAGAATTATAGCCAGTAAGCAGAAGTTACAGGATGGCAGCCTTCAATTTCAAAAGCTACTTACTATTATCTGAATATTCCATATGTTTTCATATTTATATATTTTTGTTTAACTTGTTTCTTTTGCCTAGAATGTCATTCTTCTTGCTTTTCTACCTGGTGATTTTTTTTTATCTAGTACTGTTCACTTTCTCCCAAGAGTCTGGGTTTGCATCTTATATAATTTCTCTTTAGGCTAAAGAATTTCCTTTAGCATTTCTTGTAGTACAGATCTTCTGGTGGTGAATTCTTTCAGTTTTTGTAATTCTGAAAATATCTTTTTTGCTGTTATTCTTGGAAGATATTTTGCTGGATATAGAATTCTGGGTTAAATTTTTTCTTATCTAGTACTTAAAAGATACTGTTACTGTCTTCTGGTCTCCCTGGTTTATGATGAGAACTTCGTTGTTAATGAGATCGTTGTTGCCTTATATTTATATGTTGTTTTTCTCTTGCTGCTTTCAATATGTGCTCTGTATGTTTGGTTTTTTAACAGTTTGACTATGATGTACATTGGGGTGGGCTTCTTTGCATTTATTTTGGTCTTTGATTAGCATTTTGTAATTGTACATTTCTGCCCATCACATTTGGTATATTTGGGCTATTATTTTTCAGATAATTTTTCTGCCTTGTTCTCTTTTACTTTTCTCCTTCTGGTATTGCAATTAAATGTATGTTGGACCATTTGATATCATCTAATAAGTCCCCAAGGCTCTGTTAACTTTATTTTCAATCTTTCTCTCTGTGTCTTCACCTTGGATGCTTTCTGTTGATCTCTTTTCAGGTTTACTTCCTCCTCCTCTGTTATGTGCATTTGGCTAAGTCCATCCAGTGAATTTTTATTACAGAAATTGTATTTTTTAGTTCTAGAATTTCCATTTGGTTTTTTTTTTTTTTCATTGTTTCTGTTCCTCTGCTGAGACTTCTCATTTCTCTACTGAAATTTTCATTTGTTGAAGAAATGTTTGTTTTACTTACTGAGGATAATTATAATATCCATTTTAAATTCCTTCTCTGTTAATTCCAATATTTATTCATTTTGGAGTTGGACTCAATTTATTTTCTTTTCACTTGAGAATGTGTTTTATTTCTTGATCCTCTAGTATGCTGGGTGATTTTGAATTGTGTCCTGGACATTGAACGTTGTGTTGTAGAGATTGTGTTGTTATTTTGCTCTGATGAGGGTCATTTCCTTTGGTTTAGTAAGTGCTCTTCGTGGCTGGGCTGAACTGCAAACTGCTGCTTGGTCAGCAGCTGCAGCCTCAGTACTGATCTTTTGTATTTAGCTGGAGCGCTCAAGTCTGTTCCATGTGTGTGTGATTCACGGCTCATCCACACACAGAGATGCGAATAGACGGGGTTTGGGGAACCCTCTCTTGCTTTTTCCCTTCTGGGCTTTTCCCAGTCTCTTCAGCATCCAGTTTTCTTGACTTCACTGTTTTTGGTTTCTTAGGACAAAAAACCCCTCAGTGTTTTCCAAGTGTGCCCTCAGCACCACTGTGTCATCACTTAGCCACAGGCTAAGAACCATGAAAAAGGAAATTTACTTGTACAGTTCCCTCTCTGCCCTCCTCCAAGTGAGTGTGAGCTCCCCACCAGTCTAAGTGTGAGCTCCCACCAGAGCCCAAGTGTGAGCTCCCACCAGAGCCCAAGTGTGAGCTCCCACCAGAGCCCAAGTGTGAGCTCCCACCAGAAAAAAAGAGATGGGAGCTCACACTCAGACGTGGGGAGCTCACACTTGGTCTTGTGGAGCTCACACTTGC